TGGAAAAAGAGAACACAAGAATGACTCCAAGCTGTCTTTTTCTTTTTTTTTTTTTGATTCCTTAAACTAATGGATGAATTGTTTGTTATTGAGTTGCTAAATCCCGTCTGAGTCTTTTGCAACCCATGGACTGTAGCCCTCTGGGCTCCTCTGTTGATGGGTTTCCCAGACAAGAAAACTGGAGTGGGATTACTCCCTTCTCCAGAGGATCTTCCCAACCCAGGGATCAAACCCATGTCTCCTGCATTGCAGGCAGATTCTTTACCACTGAGCCATCTGGGAAGCCCGTGGATGGACACTGATGCCATTTACTGAAACAGAGAACCCAGAGGAAAGAACAGTCTGGAGAAAAAAGCCAAGATTTCTATTTGTCATGTTACGTTTTCCTATTGGACATCCAAGCGAAGATGCCAAATACGAAATTAGACCAACAAGTCTGAATCTCAGAGGAGACATGAGAGCTGGAAATATAAATGTGAGAATTGACAATCAGGAAACTGGAAGATGAGTGATAACAAAAAACTGGGACGTAAGGGGATAAATGTTGACTTTACATTAAAATCTACCATGAATTTTGACTTAACAGACTACATTAAATACTGATAAATTAAAATGTGTGGACTTTTTTTTTCCATTTGAGGTATCTGAATGAATTTTCCCACTGTAAACAACTAATGCACCTGGATAAAATAACTTCTAAAAGCATTTGTCCTCCTGATAAGAAAGAAAGTCTCAGACCAGTGACGGAATAAGGATGGTAAGATAAGCAGAGCAATGCAACCAGCTTCTTTCCTGAGAGCATCTACTGAATCTCCATAACCCAGAGACAACTGGGCCCAATTACCTGACACTAGCTGTGAATGTTTTGAAATAAACAGGAAGAAGAATGCAAGACTTTCATTATTTTGAGCCTTAACACCTACCCTAGACCAGGAGCCCAGGGAGTTTATATAACCTCTTGCAATTTCCCTGGGTTGGGAGGGGCCAGGGTCACAGTTCTTAAAATGTTAGACTGTTGTGTTTTCCACCTTTGCCTTGCAAGGGAATAGTCATCTCTTCCCTCCAGGGCTTCCCTAATAGCTTAGTTGGTAAAGAATCCACCTGCAATACAGGAGACACCAGTTCCATTCCTGGGTTGGGAACATCTGTTGGAGAAGGAATAGGCTCCCCACTCCAGCCAGAATTCTTGGGCTTTCCTTGTGGCTCAGCTGGTGAAGAGTCTGCCTACAGTGCAGGAGACCTGGGTTCAATCCGTGGGTTGGAAAGATCCCCTGGAGAAGGGAAAGGCTACCCACTCCATTTGGGAAGAGCCACTGGAGAAGGGAAAGGTTACAGACTCCAGCATTCTGGCCTGGAGAATTCCTTGGACTGTATATAGTCCACGGGGTCCCAAAGAGTTGGACACAACTGAGTGACTTTCACGTTCACTTCTCTTTCCTCCATATCTCTGTCTCTATATGTGTTTGGTATGGGTGCACACGGTGCCAAGATTTTTGGCACCAAATTGAAGGAAAAAACTCTCACTGAGCATCTACTACAGTATCAGTGCAGTGTCAAGCCTGCGTTTGCCTATTTCAGTTCAGTTCAGTCGCTCAGCCATGTACAACTCTTTGCGACCCCATGAACTGCAGCATGCCAGGTCTCCTTGTCCATCACCAACTCCCAGAGTCTACCCAAACCCATGTCCATTGAGTCAGTCATGCCATCCAACCATCTCATCCTATTTAAATAAATAGGTTAAATAGTCATGCCCTATTTAACCATCACAATAAATCCGTTACAGATAAGGAAACTGGATTCAGAGGCTTAATTATGTACTTTGCTAAGGATCGCTATTAAGGAGTAAGTCAGACTGGAATCCAGGAAGGTCACACTCCATAAACACCTACCTGCTCTGGAAGCCGCTATGGGTTCTTGGTAAAAGGACTGAGGGACAAGGGTAGAATTAGGACTATGTTTCCAAGAGATCCCCTGAGTTACAATCACCTGGGACGCTTTTAATACTTAAATGCTTCTTGGAACTGCCAGTATCTTTCCCAGTCCCTTAGCTCTCGGCAGTCTTTGTTCCTCTATTTTGACACTCATCACCCTGGACTGCTTCAAGAAAATTAGAGATACCAAGGGAACATTTCATGGAAAGATGGGCTCAATAGAGGACAGAAATGGTAGGGACCTAACAGAAGCAGAAGATATCAAGAAGAGGTGGCTAGAACACACAGAACTATACAAAAAAGATCTTCATGACCCAGATAATCATGATGGTGTGATCACTCACCTAGAGCCACACATCCTGGAATGTGAAGTCAAGTGGGCCTTAGGAAGCATCACTACAAACAAAGCTAGTGGAGGTGATGGAATTCCAGTTGAGCTATTTCAAATCCTAAAAGATGATGCTGTGAAAGTGCTGCACTCAATATGTCAGCAAATTTGGAAAACGCAGCAGTGGCCACAGGACTGGAAAAGGTCACTTTTCATTCCAATCCCAAAGAAAAGCAATGCCAAAAAATGCTCAAACTACCACACAATTGCATTCATAAAGGAGTATGTCAAGGCTGTATATTGTCACCCTGCTTATTTAACTTATATGCAGAGTACATCATGAGAAATGCTGCACTGGAAGAAGCACAAGCTGGAATCAAGATTGCTGGGAGAAATATCAATAACCTCAGATATGCAGATGACACCACCCTTATGGTAGAGAGTGAAGAGGAACTAAAAAGCCTCTTAATTAAAGTGAAAGAGGAGAGTGAAAAAGTTGGCTTAAAGCTTAACATTCAGAAAACTAAAATCATGGCATCTGGTCCCATCACCTCATGGGAAATAGATGGGGAGACAGTAGAAACAGTGTCAGACTTTATTTTTTTGGGCTCCAAAATCACTGCAGATGGTGATTGCAGCCATGAAATTAAAAGACACTTACCCCTTGGAAGGAAAGTTATGACCAACCTAGACAGCATATTAAAAAGCAGAGACATTACTGTGCCAACAAAGGTCCGTCTGGTCAAGGCTATGGTTCTTCCAGTGGTCATGTATGGATGTGAGAGTTGGACTGTGAAGAAAGCTGAGCGCCGAAGAATTGATGCTTTTGAACTGTGGTGTTGGAGAAGACTCTTGAGAGCCCCTTGGACTGCAAGGAGATCCAACCAGTCCATCCTAAAGGAGATCCAACCAGTCCATCCTAAAGGAGATCAGTCCTGGGTGTTCATTGGAAGGACTGATACTGAAGCTGAAACTCCCAATACTTTGGCCACCTGATGTGAAGAGTTGACTCATTGGAAAAGACCCTGATGCTGGGAGGGATTGGGGGTAGGAGGAGAAGGGGACGACAGAGGATGAGATGGCTGGATGGCATCACTGACTTGATGGGCATGAGTTTGAATAAACTCCGGGAGTTGGTGATAGACAGGGAGGCCTGGCGTGCTGCGATTCATGGGGTCGCAAAGAGTTGGACACGACTGAGAGACTGAACTGAACACACACTAGTAAAGTGATGCTTAAAATTCCCCAAGCCAAAAAAAAAAAAAAAAATGCTCCAAGCCAGGCTTCAGCAATACGTGAACCATGAACTTCCAGATGTTCAAGCTGGTTTTAGAAAAGGCAGAGGAACCAGAGATCAAATTGCCAACATCTGCTGGATCATCAAAAAAGCAAGAGTCCCAGAAAAACACCTATTTCTGCTTTATTGACTATGCCAAAGCCTTTGACTGTGTGGATCACAATAAACTGTGGAAAATTCTTCAAGAGATGGGAATACCAGACCATTTGACCTGCCTCTTGATAAATCTGGATGCAGGTCAGGAAGCAACAGTTAGAACTGGACATGGAACAACAGACTGGTTCCAAATAGGAAAAGGAGTACACCAAGGCTGTATATTGTCACCCTGCTTATTTAACTTATATGCAGAGTAAGTCATGAGAAACGCTGGGCTGGAAGAAGCACAAGCTGGAATCAAGATTGCTGGGAGAAATATCAATAACCTCAGATATGCAGATGACACCACCCTTAGGGCAGAAAGTGAAGAAGACCTAAAGAGCCTCTTGATGAAAGTGAAAGAGGAGCGTAAAAATGTTGGCTTAAAGCTCAACATTCAGAAAACTAAGATCATGGCATCTGGTCCCATCACTTCATGGCAAGGAGATGGGGAAACAGTGGAAACATGGCAAACTTTATTTTTGGGGCTCCAAAATCACTGCAGATGGTGATTGCAGTCATTAAATTAAAAGACGCTTGCTCCTTGGAAGGAAAGTTATGACCAACCTAGACAGCACATGAAAAAGCAGAGACATTACTTTGCCAACAAAGGTCTGCCTAGTCAAGGCTATGGTTTTTCCAGTGGTCATGTATAGATGTGAGAGTTGGACTATAAAGAAAACTGAGCGCCGAAGAATTGATGATTTTGAACTGTGGTGTTGGAGAAGACTCTTAAGAGTCCCTTGGACTGCAAGGAGATCCAACCAGTCCGTCCTAAAGGAGATCAGTCCTGGGTGTTCATTGGAAGGACTGATGTTGAAGCTGAAACTCCCAATACTTTGGGCACGTGATGCGAAGAGCTGACTCATTTGAAAAGACCCTGATGATGGGAAAGACTGAGGGCAGGAGGAGAAGGGGACAACAGAGGATGAGATGGTTGGATGGCATCACTGACTCAATGGACATGGGTTTGGGTGGACTCCGGGAGTTGGTGATGGACAAAGAGGCCTGGCGTGCTGCGGTTCATGGGGTTGCAGAGTTGGACACGACTGGGCGACTGAACTGAAACCTGGACTGCAGGATTAATAATTAACGGTAACTTTCGCTTTAGCAGACACGTTCTTCCACTCAGACAGTAGCGGACTGCACGTACTCCAGAAGACCTCACAAAACAGCTTAGCAAGTGTCCCTATGACTACCAACGGGAGTAACTCAAAGGTTCCAACTGCGGCGCCCTTTTAGGGTGTTGGAGAGACGCCAGGCCCTGCCCTTGACTCTGACGGGCCACGCCTTTTCCGTCGGGATCTGGATGGCAGCGACGGTGACGCTGGAGCCGGCGGGCCGCTGCCGCTGGGACGAGCCCGTGCGCATCGTCGTGCGCGGCCTCGCCCCGGCGCAGCCGGTCACGCTGCGCGCGTCCCTGCGCGACGAGAAGGGCGCGCTCTTCAGGGCCCACGCGCGCTACTGCGCCGACGCCGCCGGCCTGCTGGACCTGGAGCGCGCGCCCGCGCTGGGCGGCAGCTTCGCGGGGCTCGAGCCCATGGGGCTCTTCTGGGCTCTGGAGCCCGAGAAGCCCTTGCTGCGCCTGGTGAAGCGGGACGTGCAGACGCCCTTCGCCGTGGAGCTGGAGGTGCTCGACGGTCACGAGCCCGAGGCCCAACGGCTTCTGGGCCGGGCGGTGCACGAGCGCGACTTCCTGGCGCCCGGGGTGCGGCGCGAGCCGGTGCGCGCGGGCCGGGTGCGCGGCACGCTCTTCCTGCCGCCAGGTGAGCCGCTCCCTTCCCCGGCTGTTATGGAAAGCTGGGTATAGAACCGAGACCCTGGGCGGCCCCTTGCCTGCCTACGGAACCTGTGGTTGTGGAGCTTCTCCAAACTCGCCCCCAAGCTCCAGAGACTACCATGAATTCTGGGTGGCAGTTTCTCCTCTAAATTTCAGGTCACTGCCTGCAGGTACTTCCACTCCCTTAGCTGTATGCTAAAAGTTCATTCAGCCAACTCAAAAAGGACATTTACGCTGCTTATGTGTCAGCCACGCAGCTGTATCTCAGATATTAATACTAATATTAGGCAATGACTTCTGCTGATGTGCAAGAATGATTTTTGCCTTCTTTCACATCAAACTTACTGAAAAACAAACTCCTTGCAGGTCCCCTCCACCTGTCATAAACCATCTGTCAATGGTTCTCAACCTGGATGATTTGCCCCACTCCAAGGGTATTTGGCAGTATCTGGAGACATTTTTGCTTATCACAACTGTGGGAGGGGTGCTATTGGCACCTAGTGGGTAGTGGGTAGAGGCCAGATATGGTGCGAAACACCCACAATGCACAGGTCAACCCCACAACTAGAATTATCTTGCTCAAAGTATCTATAGTGCTAAGGTTAGAAACCCTAGTCTAAGTAAAAACAAGATGCTTGCTAGCTAAGAGTGGTCTGCAAACTGGACAGCTGACCCACCTCTTCCAACCAAATTCCTGACTGAAACCCCTACTATATATAAATGCTGGCGCTGCCACTGTTCACAGAATCCCTAAACTGAATTCTGTTATTATTCTCCAAAACAGGAAGCCCTACTTTATTCTTACAGTTCTTTAGCAATTTACAACTTTAACTGGTCGCTGCCCACTCAACCATGAACTCCTGGGGCTGGAATTGTGACTTACATATCTCCATATCTCTATATTCCCAGAGGCTTACACAGGGATATAATAGGAGCTCAATAAATCATGCTGAGTGATTCAATAAGAATCTCCTAAAGGCTTTCAGTTTTTTAAAAACAATTTTCACTGCCTGGCCATGATATTTCAATTAAGTCAACTGTTAACTATTTTAGTACTACCGTGGCCCACTTAAAATTTACTGTGTTCTGACTCAAAGACTTTATGTAAACAAGGTAGAAAAGTTCAGTCATTTAACAAATATATATTAAATCAAGGATTATGCTACATACAGTAGCTAGCAAAGTCAGACGTGGGCCTCACCTTACCTCACACCTAAATAGAGTCTATAGGCAACTATACTTGGATCTCTGAATGGTAAGTGCTATGGTATGGGACTTGTAGGCCCAGGGTGCTGGTGGGAACAAATGAAAGGCTACCTAATTCAACTCAGCATGAGGGGGTTGGTGGGGGAGGTTGGGAAAGCTACCAGGAATGGAGATCTAAACTTAAATTTGAAGACTGCTGAATCAACCAAGTCAAAAAAGGTGGCGAGGGGAGGAGAATAGTGTACACCATTTTCAGGGGCCAGTGAGAACAGGGCACATTTAGGGATGGCTTTCTTTAAGGCTGGAGCAGGGAGCAAAAGGAGTTGGGGAGTATATTCTAATAATCCCCTGTATATGTAGAGTGTTTTACAGCTGTCAAAGCATTCTCAGGGTTTTTTGTTTTTTGTGTTTTTTTTAAGGAAAATTTGGTAGAAATGTATATTTCATGCTGTTATTTCTAACTTGGTTTATTTTTTTATTTTTATTTATTTATTTATTTATTTTATTAGTTGGAGGCTAATTACTTTACAGTATTGTAGTGGTTTTTGTCATACATTGACATGAATCAGCCATGGATTTACATGTATTCCCCATCCCGATCCCCCCTCCCACCTCCCTCTCCACCCGATCCCTCTGGGTCTTCCCAGTGCACCAGGCCCAAGCACTTGTCTCATGCATCCAACCTGGGCTGGTGATCTGTTTCACCCTAGATAATGTACATGTTTCGATGCTGTTCTCTTGAAACATCCCACCCTCGCCTTCTCCCACAGTCTAACTTGGTTTATATTATCATTATTGTTTTTTGCAAATATGTGAAAAATTCTGGAGAAAATAAGGCATTTTGTTCCTCCTCCCTTCTCCCCAAAGTTTATTAAAAAAAAGAAAAAAAAGTAAAAAGAGTCCTCCTCCACCTTAACACCCCCACTTCATCCCCAACCTTCCTTGCCTTAAAAACTCCTTTTTGCGGACCAAATTCTGAAACTCAAGAATATCTTCTTAGTGCCTAAAACCCTTATGATTTGTGGTGCTCTCCAGGCAGCAAACCCTTCCCTGGAATCCTCGACCTGTTTGGAAGTAGTGGTGGCCTTTGTGAATACAGGGCCAGCCTCTTGGCCGGACATGGTTTTGCTGTGCTTGCCCTGGCTTATTTCAGATTCGAAGACCTCCCTGAACATCTGAATGATGTGTGCCTGGAGTATTTTGAAGAAGCCGTGGACTTCATGCTACAGCATCCAAAGGTGGGTTCTGGTGCTTGCCTGAATGCAGAGCAGAGCGGGTGAAGCCAACACGGGGCTGGACCCAAAAGCTCTACCAGGACACCCAGGGCTGGAAATGTGGCATGAGAGACAAAGGCTTACTCAAAAGTTGTTAGGATTATTGTTTTCATTTCTACCTATCTCTCGCCAACCCCCTGTGACTCAACTGTTGAGTTGCCTTTAGTTCTTGATCAGAATTCAAAGAGTTGGACTTAAAAGTCACTAACCTTAAGTTCTGGTTCTGGGTCTACTACCAAGTGGCCTTATAATCCTGAATAAAGGAGGTGCCCTTTCTGGGATTCAATTTTTCTCATTTATAAGATTAAATAGGTTCTTCCCTGGTGGTCCAGTGGTGTTCCACTTACACTTATACTGCAGGGGCCAGAGGTGTGATCTCTGGTCAGGGAACTAAGATCCTGCATGTGCCCCCCCCAAAAGAAAATTAATGTAAATGTATAGAGGGGAAAAGTCTGCCTATAAAGAGATTTTTGAAGGAATCGGTGACATTTGAATAAAGGCATTTGTATTTGATGATGTGAAGGAATCATTAATTTTGTTAAGTGTGTTAACTTCATCATGGTTTTGTAGATAAAGTTCTTATCTGAGACTGAAAAAGTTAATTAAAACAGTTTGGAATTATTATAAATGGAATGCAATACATACTCTTTGCTACTATCTAGACTTAAAGAAACCCAAACATTCTAATGTTAAGGAATAAGATGTACTGCAAGGTCTAACTCTATTAGAATTCAGGGACTGGTCTCAACAAAGCTGCTAAACCTAGATGATCTTGAACTGATGGTTTACTTAGGGGTTATAACGCCCCAGGAATAAGAGACTAATATGTACTATCAGGCTTCTACTGGGAGCCTTTTGTTTTAGATGACCACTCTCTGGCCTTCCTTTGGCTGCATTCCTGCCCACAGGGTGTGGAGTTTGAGGGACCAAGGGAAAGTGTCTACCTGGAAACCATGTGCCCCTCCCACCATGCCCTTTAGATCTGGAACCTCAGAATTATATGCCAACCAGCTCTGATCTTGCTTCTAGGCCCTATGCCACTTCTCTGGGTCCATTAATGGGAATATACCTAGGTCTTAAACATATAGGCTGGGGTGTCCATGTGTAAGGGGGCTCTTAAGGTACATGATGGAGCCAGGGATGGGAAGAGGAGAGCTGGCTAAAAACCAGAGACTGGGGCAGGGGCTGGTGCTCCCCGCAAGCCATGTTCCAGTACAGAACTCCAAGGAGTTCCAAGATATAAAATTTTAACCTGACCTTATAACTTGTTATGGAGGTGTATTTATCAAGGTTACAGGAAAAATATATTTTATTTAACTTTTAAATATTTGTAACTTTTTAAAGTATTTAGGTATAGGGTGTATGGGCCTCTGTGTGTACTCTTGACCTAGTTGCCATAAATGTGAGTGGAGGCCCTGTGTACTAGGAAATTAATTGATTTGCTCATTAGAAAATACATTTGAACTTTGTGGACTGTTGCATAAGAACGGAAAGCAAATGACATTTCAGAAAGCTGCCTAGAGAATGTAAAATCACAGTTAAATTCTCCATTTATGAATTCTAAACTTGTTCTCTCTCTCTTCATCAGGTGAAAGGCCCTGGTGTTGGGCTTCTTGGCTTCTCCAAAGGAGGTGACCTGTGTCTCTCAATGGCCTCTTTCTTGAAAGGCATCACAGCCACTGTAGTTATTAATGCCTGCGTAGCCAACACAATAGCTCCTCTGCGTTACAAAGATATGATTATTCCTGAGCTCAGCTATGACCTAAAAAAACATACAATCACTGAGTCAGGCTTTTTAAATTTTGTGGATATTTGGGACAACCCACTGGAGAAAACCAACCACCAAAGTCTTATTCCATTGGAAAAGGCCCAGGGGCCCTTCCTGTTTATTGTTAGCATGGATGATCATAACTGGAAGAGTGAAGTCTATGCTCGTATAGCCTCTGAACAGTTACAAGCCCATGGGAAAGACAGACCCCAGATAATCTACTATCCAGGAAGTGGCCATTGTATTGACCCACCTTATTTTCCTCTTTGTAGAGCCTCTGTGCATGCAGTTTTGGGCCAACCAGTATTCTATGGAGGTGAGCCAAAGGCTCACTCAAAAGCACAAGCAGATGCCTGGCAGCAAATTCAAACTTTCTTCCATAAACATCTCAATGGTAAAAAGTCTGTCAGGCCCAGCAAATTGTAACACTGTAATCATAGACCGTATATTAATAAAAATCCTGGATTTCCCTGGTAGTCCAGTGGTTAAGGATCTGCAGGGCACATGGTTTCAATCTCTGCTCCAGGAAGATTCCACATGCTACATACAGTACAACTAAGCCCACGTGCCACAACTCCTGAAGCCCAAACACTCTAAAGCCCATGCTCTGCAACAAGAGAAAGTACCACAAATGAGAAGCCTGTGCACCCCAACTAGACAGTAGCCCCCACTTGCCACAGCTAGAGAAAGCCTGTGTGTAGCGATGAAGACCCAGCACAGCCAAAAATAAGAAAATAAATTAAAAATAAATAAAACCATCTTATTAAAAAAAAAAAAGAATCCTATTCATACAACAGGTGTTGGGTTTTCCAGAGCACCTAGGAAACTTTTTGTAACAAAGCAAGCATTTCTGACTCCTTGTCAGGTCCTCCCAGGTTCTCAGCCCTAGCAACCCTACTTTCTAAACTAGTGGGTCCATCCCTTTCTCCCCTGAACTTTTTCCAGTGTATATAGGCTAAACCCTGATCTTCTCTGTAGGACCAATCTTAACCTTAAGCAGGAAAAATATGAGAAGTGCCTGCTCAAGTCTCAACTGCTGGCCTAGATTTGGCCTTGAATTCTGGTTTTGAGGACTGAGCTTTTGTTCCACTGAGAGTCCCATACACTCTTTGGGCTCTAACTGACCATATCTGGCTCCCTAGTGATTCAGACAGTAACGAGTCTGCCTGCAATATGAGAGACCCAGGTTCGATCCCTGGGTCAGATAGATCCCCTGGAGAAGGAAAGGGCAACCCACTCCAGAATTCTTGCCTGGAAAATCCATGGACAGCAACAGTGCATGGGGTCACAGAGTTGGACACGACTGAGTGACTTAACACTTTTTGACCATATCTGAAGCTTGGGAACTTGCCCACTGAAGTCCTTTAAGGAATGGACTCTGCTTCATTCTTGTCTATGAACCCCACTCTTGAGGTTTGGGAGCATCAACATACTTAATATCTTAAGCTTTGCTTTAATTTTATGAATGCAGAGCTTTGCTTTTATGACCAAGGACCTAGAGTTCAATCTCTTCCTTACTGAGAAAGTATCCTTTACAAATTTTGAATTTAAAATTCAAAGGATACTTTACAAAATAAAATTGAATCCTTTAACAAAAAAGCATTTGTTGTAAGCCGAACAGTTTATGCTATATGCTGTTGATATATTAATACTTATTCTTTATTTATTGTCTAAATTTTCAGTCTTGAAAGTTGGCTACCTAGAGGAATGCCTTAACACCAGCAGATTTTGGGGACTTCATCTTTGGATGTCAGATTATAACTGTCAAATCAGATTTCCTCTCCATACTATCTGTTCCTATTAACTTCCTACTGGGAAGGATTGGGATCCGTCTGTCTCAATCCATTGCCTTGTACTGGGCACTATCTAGAGTTATGAGACCAGGGCAAAGGCTCTTCTGTGAGTGCAAGAATATTTTTCTGAGACACATCACTTGGTTTGCTGAGCGCACACTAAGTCTTTCACCAATCTGAGTCTATTCAAGCAAATGCCCATTAGACCTTAACTAATGAAAAGAAGCCCAGCGTGCCACAGTTCACGGAGTCGCGAAGAGTCAGACACGACTTAGCAACTGAACAACAATGAAAAGAAGGGTTTCTTAGAAGTTACCTAGTTTTGACCAGTTGTTTAAAAATATGTGTTGACTGTTGGTGGGAATGCAAATTAGTACAGCCACTATGGAAAACAGTGTGGAGATTTCTTAAAAAGCTGGAAATAGAACTGCCATATGACCCAGCAATCCCACTTCTGGGCATACACACCGAGGAAACCAGATCTGAAAGAGATATGTGCACCCCAATGTTCATTGCAGCACTGTTTATAATAGCCAGGACATGGAAGCAACCTAGATGTCCATCAGCAGACGAATGGATGAGGAAGCTGTGGTACATATACACCATGGAATATTACTCAGCCATTAAAAAGAATTCATTTGAATCAGTTCTAATGAGATGGATGAAACTGGAGCCCATTATACAGAGCGAAGTAAGCCAGAAAGATAAAGACCATTACAGTATACTAACACATATATATGGAATTTAGAAAGATGGTAACGATAACCCTATATGGAAAATAGAAAAAGAGACTCAGATGTATAGAACAGACTTGTGGACTCTGGGAGAAGGCGAGGGTGGGATGTTTCAAGAGAACAGCATCGAAACATGTATATTATCTAGGGTGAAACAGATCACCAGCCCAGGTTGGGTGCATGAGACAAGTGCTCGGGCCTGGTGCACTGGGAAGACCCAGAGGGATTGGGTGGAGAGGGAGGTGGGAGGGGGGACCGGGATGGGGAATACATGTAAATCCATGGCTAATTCATTTCAATGTATGACAAAAACCACTGCAATGATGTAAAGTAATTAGCCTCCAACTAATAAAAATAAATGAAAAAAAATTAATAAATAAAAATTAATAAATTAATAAATAAAAATATGTGTTGAGTGTATTTATTTATTGTGTAGTATAATTTTCTGTAATTTGAATCCTTGAAGCCTCTGCTTTAACTCACTCCTGGGTGGTTCTACTACCCTAGAGATGCCTTTGGGAGGGCACATCGTAGAAAGAAGTTATAAAGAAAGTGGCTGGGAGGGTAAGGGCCAAGGTAACACCAGAAGCTAAATATGAGGATGATGACTTAACATCTCTGCATACTAAAGAATTAGGTGTAGGGACAGCACTCCACCTCCATTTATTTCTTACTGATAAAGTAGCCTTGAAATGCCCTACACTAACTAAAGATATTTGGTGACTTTCCCCTCAGAGTTGATTGTATGTGACTAGTTAGCTCTAAGAACAATATGAAAAGGCAAAAATATATGATGTTGAAAGATGAACCCCCCAGGTTGGCAGGTGTTCAGTATGCTATTGGAGAAGAGTGGAGAAACAGCTCTAGAAGGCATGAAGAGCCTAAGCCAAAGCAGAAACAATGCCCAGTTGTGGATGTGACTGGTGGTGAAAAATAAAGTCCGATGCTGTAAAGAACAATACTGCATAGGAACCTGGAATGTTAGGTCCATGAATCAAGGTAAATTGGAAGTGGTCAAACAGATGGCACGAGTGAACATTGGCATTTTAGAAATCAGTGAACTAAAATGGACAGGAATGGGCAAATCTAATTCAGATGACCATTATATCTACTATTATGGGCAAGAACCCCCTTAGAAGAAATGGAGTAGCCCTCAGTCAACAAAAAAGTCTGAAGTGCAGTACTTGGGTGCAGTCTCAAAAACAACAGAATGATCTCAGTTCACTTCCAAGGCAAACATTCAATATCACAGTAATCCAAGTGTATGCCCCAACCACTAATGCCAAAGAAGCTAAAGTTGAATGGGTCTATGAAGACCTACAAGACCTAGAACTAACACCAAAAAAAAAAAAAAAAAAGATGTCCTTTCCATCATAGGGGAGTGGAATGCAAATTAGGAAGTCAAGAGATAACTGGAGTAACAGTCAAGTTTGGCCTTGGAGTACAGAATGAAGCAAGGCAAAGACTAAGAGTTTTGCCAAGAGAACGCACTGGTCATAGCAAACATCCTCTTCCAATAACAAGAGACGACTCTACACATGGACATCACCAGGTGGTCAACAGATTGATTATATTCCTTGTAGCCGAAGATGGAGAAGCTCTCTATGGTCAGCAAAAACAAGACTGGGAGCTGACTATGCCTCAGATCATGAACTCCTTATTGCAAAATTCAGACTTAAATTGAAGAAAGTAGGGAAAGCCACTAGGCAATTCAGGTATGACCTAAAGCAATCTCTTATGATTATACAGTGGAAGTTGTAGGGAATATGCTATGCACAGCCCTGTACTATAATTAACAGGGCCTCTTTGAAAAATAAAAATTCCTTTCTCATCACCCCCAGGCGAAGGGCTGGGAATAGTAAAAAGTACATTGTGGAAAGATATCTTGAAAACAAGATGTTGAAGTACTGACGTGACTGATGGAAAACCATTAGTGACTGTTCCCGTAACCAGAGCCTTGAGGGAGTTGCTGAGAAAGGGTGTCACTAGCCAAAGGGCTAAACAAAGTCATCAAAGGCCTGAAGGTTTGACACTGAAGTGACGTGGAGTCGCTCAGTCGTGTCCAACTCTTTGCGACCCCATGGACTTTGGCCTACCAGGCTCCTCTGTCCGTGGAATTCTCTAGGCAAGAATACTGGAGTGGGTTCCCATTTCCTCCTTCAGGGGATCTTCCTAACTCAGGGATCGAACCCAGGTCTCCCGCACTGCAGCCAGATGCTACCGTCTGAGCCACAAGGACTGTGCATTGTATATCTTTATCCCTGATCTGAGACTGTAAAGAACAGATATCTCTAGAACATGAAGAAGTAGTAAGGAAGTAGAAGTTAACAATAAAAGGCATGCAAGGATTAGGATCTGGGCTTTTGCCTGTAAATGGCATCAGCCCCTGATCCACACTTTATTTCTGAGTCTTACTTTTCCTTATTCTTCTGCAGCACCACTCCCTCAGGTCAATTTGTTGTTGGGCTGGTCCCAACAGAAGTGACAAATAGATTCAAAGGATTAGATCTGATAGAGTGCCTGAAGAACTATGGACGAAGGTTTGTATGTAACATTGTACATGAGGCGGTGATCAAAACCATCACCAAGAAATGCAAGAAGGCAAAATGGTTGTTTGAGGAGGGCTTACAAATAGCTGAGAAAACAAGAGAAGCTAAAGGCAAAGGAGAAGAGGGAAAATATACCCATCTGAAAGCAGAGTTTCAGAGAAGAGCAAGGAGAGATAAGAAAGCCTTCCTCAGTGATCAATGCAAAGAAATAGAGGAAAACAATAGAATGGGAAAGACTAGAGATCTCTTCAAGAAAATTAGAGATACCAAGGGAACATTTCATGCAAAGATGGGCACAATAAAGTACAGAAATTGTATGGACCTAATAGAAGCAGAAGATAGAAGAGGTG